CGTTCCCTCCTCCTCTATCATCCTCGTTCCCTCCACCTCCACCCTCCCACCTCCCCCGCTCCCTCCTTCCCTCTCCCCCACCCGCCGCTCCCTCCTCCAGAATAGTATCAACTTCAGCCAGTCATCCACTCGATCGCCTCTGCATAATGCCTCCTCAGAGCGGGCGAGAGCCGCTAAAATCACCCTTAAAGACGTCGCATATTCTCCTGCCTTCGGAGAGATACGCGAGTCCCCCCCCCCCCCCGCGACGTCCAAATAGTAATCCTCTTCTCCAGATATCCAGACAACTCACGGGACTTCAAAAAAGATGAAAAAATATACCATTCCCTGAAGATATTTTCCTTCTTCAAATCCTGCGATAAGCTTAGGAATATCCAGAGCCTAAGGAGTCAACGCGTGCGGAAGGAAGGAGCCGTAATTGGAGGTGAAGGAGAGCCATAAATGGGACTCGTAATTGGGGAGTAGCGGAAAGACGTAAATACGACTCGGCGTTGGGAGTGAGGGAGAGACACACATTGGATTCGGAAGTGGGAGTGGCGGAAATTTAAATCATATTCGGTATTGGGAGTGAAAGCCATATACAGGATTCGGAATTGGGAGGGAGTCATAATAGGTTTCGGAGGATGGCGGGGGAAGGGGAGGGAGGGAGGAAGGTATGAAGGAAGGAAGGAAGGAAGGGGAAGGAAGGAAGGAGAAGGAAGGAGGGGAGGACGTAAGTAAATCATTCCCTGAAGATTATTTTCCTTCTTCAAATCCTGCGATAAGCTTAGAATATCCAGAGCCTAAGGAGTCAACGCGTGCGGATAGGGAAGGCCGTAATTGGAGGTGAAGGAGAGCCATAAATGGGACTCGTATTGGGAGTACGGAAAGACGTAAATACGACTCGGCGTGGATGAGGGAGAGACACACATTGAATTCGGAAGTGGGAGTGGCGGAAATTTAAATCATATTCCTGGTTATTGGAGGAAAGCCATAATACAGGGCATTCGGAAAAAAAATATGGTGAGTAGAGGGAGTCATAAAAATGGTAGATAGTATTCGGAGGGATGAGCAAAAGGAATCAAAAAGAAAGGGAAAGGAATAAAGGGAAAATAAAAAAAAAAGGGGGAAAGAGGGAGGGAGGAAAGGAATGAAGGAAAAAAAAAAAGGGATAAGGACATAAGGAAGAGAGAAAGGAAGGAAGAAGGAAGGAGGGGAGGAAGGAGGGAAGGTGGAAGAAAGGGAGGGGAGAAAAAGGAAGAGGAAAAGAGGAAGAAGAAGAAAGAGGGAGAGATAGAACGAGGGAGGAGAGCAAGGAGAGAAGGAAGGAACAGAAGGGAGGACGGATATGGATCGAATTAAAGGAAGAGGGTTGAAAATAGGAGAAACCAGAAAAGGAGAAGAAAAAAGAAAGAAATTAAAGAAAACGAAAATAGAAGAGAAGAGATAGGAAGAGAAAGAACAGAAAGAGGAGGAGGAAAAAACGAGGAGTGCGAGGTGAGAAATGCGGAGGACAAAGAGAAAGGAGGGAAGGAAACTGAGAAAGAGATGGAGAGAGAGGAAGCAGAGGAGAGAGAGAGGAGGAGAGAGAAAAAAAAGAGAGAAAAGAAAGTGGAGGAACTAAGAAAAAATTACAAGAGAAGGTGTAAATATGGCCGAGAGCATGGGATCTGAACCTGACCTGAGAGTATTGTTGAATTATTCTGGTATCTTGTAAGAGAGAGACGAGATGAGATTTGAGAGCAGAGACGGGATGCTAGATTATCGAGGAGCGAGAAGGAAAGAGAGAGACGAGTAGATGGAGCTGGAGAGAGATGAGAGAAGGGGGAAGAGAGAGGAGCGTGATGAGGAGAGAGAGGGTGAGAGAGAGAATGAAAAGTCAGAGGGAGAGAGAGGGGAGAGGAGGGAGAGAGAGGAAGTGAGAGAAAAGAAAGAGAAGATTTAAAGAGAAAGGAGACCCATAAAATAAAGAGAAGAGAGATAGAAATTGAAATGAAAAAGAATCCAAAATTAGGCCAAAAAAAGAGAGAAAAAATCATACGTGACAGCGCCCCCGCCCGACCGAGCAGCTCAGCCGATCGAACGAGTGTACAGATTAATTTGCAGAATCTGTCGCGGCGCCAAGTGGTGCGGGCGGGCCAGGCGGGAGTGTAATGAAGGCCAAAGTAATGAGACGCAAGTGTACACACATACGCGTAATCGCACAGCTTTTGCCCGCCTTTTTCTCTTTCTCTATATTTTTCTTTTTTTTCTTTTTTTCCTTTTTTTTCTGGGGAAGGGGTGCAAATTTGCGCCTGCATGGCAACTGCGACGAGGCTAAAATACGAGCATGAAACTGCATACTGTCGGTTTTAACTGCCAATAATAATTAATGGACAGATATTTGCCCATCTATAAATGACACTGTGGTTTATGAATAAATATTTCTCTGTCCCTCTCTATCCATCACTTTTTGAACTCGCTTAATCTGCCCTCTGTCGCCCTTTCGCTCTCCTTTCCTCTCTCTTTCTCTCTATCCTCTCTCTTCTTCCCTTTCCTGTCTTTCCTCTTTCCCTTCCCGCGTTTGTACTCTTCCATTCCTATTTCACTTAACCTTCTACTATTCGTCTCCCTCTTGCTCCTCCCTTTTCCCAACATTTATCTCCTCTCCCCTGCCCCTCCCTTTCATCTCTCCCATCTCTTCCCATTACCCGTCTCTTACATCTCTCCCTCTCCCATTCCCTTCCTCCGTATCTCACCTCTCCCCCATCCTCCCCCTCCTCGTTTTTCTCCCCTCTCCCTTCTTTTTTTCCTTCTCCTCCCCCCCCTCTTTTCCACATTCCCCTCCCCGATCCGGCCTATCACCCTCCTTCCCCTCCCTCTTACCTATATTCCTTCACTCCTTTCCTCCCCCTTCCCCCTCCGGGAACAAACAAACCCACTGCAACCTATTTTGGGATACAAACAAGGTCCATTCACTAACAATCACCCACTGTCTCTTCCACGTCGCCCCTATTCCTCCCTTAAATCTTACCTTTCTTCTCTCTCCACCTATCTTTCCTCCTCTCCCCCACCCGCCCCTATCATACCGATCCACCTTACCCACATCACTCCCCTTTCCTTCTCAGTCCTCCCTTTCCCTCCCTCCCTCCTTCATCCACCTTCTCCCTACCTCCCTTATCCTCCTCCTCTCTCCCTCTTTCATCCTTCCTCTCCCTCCCTCTTTCATCCTTCCTCTCTCCCTCCCTCTCCCCTTACCCTTTCCACCCTTTCCATCCATCCACCATTTTCCTCCTTCCACTATCCACATTCTCCCTCCCTCCTCCTCCGCTCTCTTCCTCCATCTCTCATCCACCCTTACCCTCTGTGCTATCCATCCTCTCGCCCTCCTCTGTCCACTCACTGCCACTCCCCTATCTTCCCTTTCGCCCTCCCATATCTTCCAACTCCCTCCCTCTCACCCTCCCCTATCTCCCTCCCTTTCCTCCTCCTCCCTCCCTCCCTCCTCATCCCCCCACCCCACCAGAAACAAACAAACCCACTCCAATCCATTCCTGGATACAAAAAAAGGCCCATCCACTAACAAACGTCCAACATCTTGCGTCTTGCAACTGCAGCGTGCAATGCCTTCCGAGAATGCCAGAAGTTGCACTTGATTGCCTTCGTCAGATCCGACAGAGAGAGAGAAAAAAAAGGAGACGAAACTTTCGAGGAGACTTTGTTATTCATTTCCTTTGCTTTTTATCGATACGTCTGTTGTCTCTCCTTTTTACTACTTCGTCCCGTTATTCTTTTCCGGTGTACTTTTCCCCCCTATATTCGACTGTTCAGACTTTTAAAATTTTTCTTTCTTTCTTTCTTTCCCTTCCACTATATCTTCCTATATACACTCATTGCTCACATATTTCCTTTTATTCCCTCCTCCCTCTTTGTCTTACACTCATCCACTTACGCCGGTCCTTTGACTATGCCCTTTACATAATTCCGCTTTAATGCTCTTTCGCGAATTAACAACCCTGATTCATCCCTCCACGTCTCTCCTCAACACTCCTCTCTATCTACATATTTCCTCGTCAGCGGTTCCTAGTTTCCACTAACCTAATTAAAGGAAAAAGGAAAAAGGATAAAAAAAATCCCAAACACAGACACGCGACCCGAAGGAGGGGGAGGAGGAGGAGGAGGAGGATATGCACGTCATGTATTATGGACACTTTCTACACAGCGTCTTAAATATGCAATCCCTGGTCCGCCCTCCTTCCACGCGCCGGAAGTGCATGACCCGAGCTTTCCCATGACTCCCGAGAGTTGATAACTTGCCTAATTCGTGTGCTTCTTGGATAAACGTTCTATTCCAATTCGGTTAAGTAGTCTCTAATTCATTATTAGAATGAATTGATCAATTATTTGATGGTGTCTAATACAGGTACGAGAACCTTGTAAGACCCGCCTCGTGTAATACTAAGAAGCCTAACGACAGGTCCGTTACCCTAACAGTGCAGGCACCAGGATCTCCCTCGGCCTCCCTTGACCGAACCCAAATGCCAAACCCGACTCTAGAACCCGACCCGACCGCCTAAACTTCGCAGACGCTCCACGCAGAGGCGCCGAAGGACAAAAGGAACCGAACACGATACAGCGGAATCCCCGGGGGCCCCAAGTCACCCAAGCCGTGGCGCCGCAGTCAGACTTTTCGATCTCCCGCTTGTCTCTCTCTCTCTTTCTCTCTCTCTCCCTCTCTTTACTCTGCATTCTCTAATTGCTTCGCCCACTGCGAAGGATTTCTTTACCGAGGGAAATTCTCGTCATTGTTGAGACGCTAAAAGGCTTCCACGATTTCATGAGGGAACGTTTCTTTCCAAAGATTTTTTTCACATTCGTTCTCGGAAAAATGCATTGTTAATACAGCACGTCTAACAACGATGCAACAGAGTGCTCATAATGCTGATCTAAACCGCGCGTGCTTTAACCCTCTAGACGCGGAAGAAACTATGGAACAGCATTCATACAAACCCAAATCACACAATAAAACCATTCCATTACCACCTCCCAAAAAATCGTCATCCCGCGTGTGTAAGAAGAAAAAAATTACATACAATTATACATATTCTTTTAAATCCCGTTTTCCCCGCGTCGCTAAAAAAATACATCCAAGAACCGGAGAAAGAAACCGGAACAGAAAAACCGGGGACACTTACCTCGTCTTCCAGCGTGACCGGGAACTGGGTGATGGGCTTAATGGCCATCTCCTGTAGGCCGGTCTTCTTCCTGCCGTGGGAAGCAAGAGGTCAGTCTTGGGCACACACAACGCCATCTCAAGTGGGAATTGAAGTGAGAACAAGGTTCACATTCTTTTCCCTTTGTATTCTTTTACATTACTTTTTTTTGCAAACGTTGGTATTCCTAGAGACAATTTTAACAATTACCGATTATTGAAAGTATTAAAGGCAGAAAATCATTACAATCTTAAATGGGAACAAGAGTCCCCGGGAAGTTATTCGATTAACATTTGCCGGCGTTCGTGTTAATGGGCAAGAACAACAATGGCAATCTTTTAATTCCCTTTTTTATATCACAATGGCTTGGAAAACTGCCTTCATTTGAATATACGAAAGGCTATTAAGATTTTTCGCCGTTTGATTATCATAATAGCCTATACACCGACTTTTATCTGTTACATTATGGAAATCGCTCTGCCTAGATTTGATTATCATAATGTACTTTGCTCCGCCGTCATTTAATTAGCACTGGAGACCTTGGACTCGTTAACCAGCGACTATAATCGAATCATATCTCACTTTATTTGCCTAAATATGTCTCTATATTCGAATCCACTTTTTATAAAGAAACGATATCAAACATAATCAATAATGAACTATCATTATGAAGAAGAAAATAAAACATTTACAACAACACATAATGCTAAGTAATCTTTATTAAAAAGATATATATACAAACATTTAACAAACATGCTTCCCGCACTTCTGGAGGTGTGACTATTTCCTCTCCTATACAATCAAGAAAAAAACAAACAAACAAACAGTCACACACTCACATCATCTTCCTCCCTACACACACAATCCCCTCTACGCCCGCCCCAACTTCCTACCTACCCCCCTACCCCCACCCCCCAAAAAAAACAGAAAAAAAAAAGACAAATGATTAAAACCTCACACACAACCACGCAGAGAAAAAAAAAAAGTTGCACATTCAGACAGTCTTTTTTTCCTCAAACCAGTCTCTCTCATTCATAACTTTGAGCTGAGACACATTCAGCGGCGAGGGGACAATTTGTCTCTCGCCGTGTAATCAAAACTAATGATGTCTGTTTCCGCCACTCGAATGTTGGGAGAAAAAATACGAAATAAAAATGAGTTCCTATTACTGGCATAATTTTCCTGTTTCTTTCACGTTCTCGTAAATTGTTTTATTTTTCTCTCTCATTTTTATTTATTCTATTCCACTCTATCCACTCTCTATCATATTTTTTTTCTTCTCCCCTCCTCCTCTATTCCTCTATTTTCCTTTTTTAACCGTTCTACTCCTAACACTCTTTCAACCATCAAAACGAAAAAAAAAAAATTCAATTTTCCTCACCTGAGTACGATGACCTTGACGGTGGGTCCTGGGATGCCCTTGAAGATGCTGGAGGCGTTAAGATGGCAGCGACCGTAGATGACATTGCCGTTAACCTGACGGCGAAGAAAATAGTGTTAAAAACTTTCCTGAAGAAGCTTGCCTTCTACCGCCTTCTACCCATTTCTAACTAAGCACGTAATAAACTAAATAAAAGAAAACGTAAATAATAAAAAATGAACATAAATTTACTCACAACAAAAGTCATTTAAGAAAGATATTCACAAAAGATTACCTTCCATAGCCTCTATCTATCCAAGCGCACCCTCGGGCTACTAGGGGACCCATCGAGAGCGCCAATACTGAAATTACTGTAGTCAGCCTCGGAGGCTCGAAAGACCCATTTTCTCTACCCCGATGGAGGGGAGATTTTGTCCATTTTCTTTGTGCATTATGCTGGGAGGTCTTTTGTATTTGCGATTTCATTTCGCAAGTTATGCAGAAAGAAGGTGCACGCAGGATTTTGATTGGAAATGTTGTGGATAAATTTGTTCCTACATTTTATTTCTTTTTAACATGAGAATACCAATGCGAATAATATATAATAATAACATCTAAGAGAACGCAAGGAAGAAAATTAATCATATATATGCGTTTAAACATGAAACAGAAGAAAACTATGATAAATATAGCATGAATATAAACCCCGTCCATTTCAGAATTATAATATAGAAAAATAAGAAAGAAATGACTATCGTTGAGGAAATAACTGTGTGTCAATGAAAGTTATGGCCGATACTGCGAATGATAAAGTGAAAGATATTATGAATGACTTTAGTAATGGTTATGAGGAAAGTATACAAAGGGAAGAGAGAGGGTCGTTTCTGTCAGACAGTGAGAGGGAGAGAGATAGAGGGAAAGAGGGAGAGAGAGAGAGAGGGAGAGAGAGAGAGAGAGGAGAGAGAGAGAGAGGGAGAGAGAGAGAGAGAGAGGAGAGAGAGAGAGAGAGGAGGAGAGAGAGAGAGAGAGAGAGAGAGAGAGAGAGAGAGGGAGGGAGGGAGGGAGGGAGGGAGAGAGAGGGAGGGGGAGAGGGGGGAGGGTAGAGAGTGAGAGAGAAAGAGAGAGAAGAGAGAGAGAGAGAGAGAGAGAGAGAGAGAGAGAGAGAGAGAGAGAGAGAGAGAGAGAGAGAAAGAGAAAGAAAGAAGAAAAGAAAGAAGAAAGAAAGAAAGAAGAAAGAGAAAGAAAGAGAAAGAAAGAAAGAAAGAAAGAAAGAGAGAGAGAGAGAAAGAGAGAGAGAGAAAGAGAAAGAGAAAGAGAAAGAGAAAGAGAAAGAGAAAGAGAAAGAGAAAGAGAGAGAGAGACGAAAGGACGGATGGATGCACAGATTGATAGAAAGACAGGTAGATGGATTGATAGATAAATAGATGGACTGATAGATAGATAGACACACACAGAATGAAAGATGGATGCAAGTGTGCGTGTTTGTTTGTTTGATGAGAGTGTGTTTGTGTGTGTGTGTGTGTGTGTGTGTGTTGTGTGTTTGTTTGCGTGCGTGTGCGTACGTGTACGTGCGTGCGTGTACGTGTGTGCGTGTACCTGTCTGCTTGCGTGTTGCTGCGTGTCTGCTCGCGTGTCTGCTTGCGTGTGTCTACTTGTATGTGTTTGCTTGTATGTGTGCTCATGTGTTGTCTACCTGCGTGTGTGTGTATTCCCCGCGTGCATGCAAGCAAATATGCAACCGGCCGTGCCCTCCGAGCCAGCAACGTTATAAAATGATGAACGTAAAATAATGGCCCCGAGTTCAGGATGCAGAGACGCGTAAGAGAAACTCCGCAAGAAGCAGGAATTGCCCGGGGCGACTGCACGGTTCACAGGAGCAGGAAATCTCGAAGGCATCAAGAATATTCCAAAGGGATAAAATAAGAAAAACGAAACAAAAATGAAAAGAAAAGAACACGAAAGTTTGAAAGGCACTGCGGGGAGCGAAGTAACGAAAAGGAGTGAGATAAATCTTCATTCATTTGCGCTATGATTTTGTTAAATAAGTCTGATGGTTTAAGATATATGCGCAAATAAATATCTAACGATAGAAATACAGTGAAATAATCTAAATGATTCTAAATTTTATGAAAATCAGCATCTAAAGCATCACTGTCATCTACTTCAAGAACATCCACCCAAAAAATTAAAGATAATGATCATGATAATAATGATCATAACAACATCAGCTACAACACCAACATTAACATAAAAACAACAATAACAATAATAGTAATAGAAATACTAATACAATATCAACTCAAAGACCACATACCATAAGAACAACAATAACAATAATAGTAATAGAAATAATAATACAATATTAATAGTGATAATAATAATAGTGATTATAATACTAAGAATAAGAATAAGAATAATAAGAATAGTCATAACAATAACCGCCATGAATATCACCCAACCCCGCCCAAAACGAAGCAAAGCACCCACCTCGAGGATCTCGTCGCCCACCCTGAGCCGCCCATCCTTGAAGGCGTTGCCGTTGGGGTTGAGACCGCAGATGAAGGCCGACATGAGGGTCCTGTCCTTGTTACCGGCCAGGGAGATGCCCAGGCCGTTGGCGCCTTTCTGCAGGTCCACCAGAATCACTTCGCCTTTCAGGTCGCCATACTTCTTCGCGATTTTCTCTGCGGGGGGAGAAGAGGCGGCGTTAGTGGGTGTGGCAGAGGTGGGAGGGTGGGGGGAGTAAAAGGGGATAAGGATGTTAATGGTAATACGACAGCAAATAACAAAATAACAACTACAGAAATGATAATGATATCAATTTTGATAATGATAATAGTGATGATGACTGTGATGGTGATGACAATGGTAATGGTGATGATGATGATGATGTAGATGAAGATAATGTATATGAAGATGATGATGAAGATGGTGATGTAGATAACGATGAAGATGAAGATGATAATAAGCACCATAATAATAATACAAAAACAGGGAAATACGCCAAATGGCAGAAACGACTATATAATTCCACATGCCATTGCCAAGTACTTGTTACCGACACATTAACTGCAATTTACATAAACTTTCTCGCAGTCAGACAACTTTCACATGAAAATCACAGCAGTTAAACCCGATTATCATTTTCTTCCCCCTTCCCCCCTCTTTCCTTTTTCCTTCCCTTCATTTTTCTTCTGATTATCCAATTACACTTCCCTTAATTTCTCTCTAATCGAAAGTTTCATTCCCGGAGGAAGACGGAATGATCAATTAACGCTCCCAAAGACGAAGGAAATCAAAAGGAAAAACTTCCGAAAAATAAAAATGGGAACTAGAAAACAAACAAACAAACAAAGCGAAATCCAAGCCCGCACGTTCTTTCTTCCCGCATGGGGAAGGGAGGGGGGGGGGATCGAGCGAGCTGAAGAAGAGAGATGAACGACTGAGGAGGAGGAGGAGGAGGAGGAGGAGGAGGAGGAGGAGGAGGAAGAGAGGGTGGAAGAAAAGGAGGAAGAGGAGGAAGAAAAAGAGGAGGGGAAAAAGGACGGAGAGGAGGAGGAGGAGGAAGACAAAAAGAAAAAAAAGGAGGAGGAAGATTAAAAGGAGGAAAAGGCAGCGGCGGCGGCGGGCGGCGGACGACGGAGATCGCCCCGTGCCGACTCCCACCTGTCGCGGCTCTCGTAAATCTCGCGAGACCAAACGAGACATTCATCGCCGGGGACCTGATGCCGCTCTGACTGGCACTCTCGTATGGACCGCCGGCTGACGCGAGATAAATGGCAAGACGAACTGCCGCGCGGATTCTACGGATGGGGGGGGGGGGGAGGGTAGTGAGGGGGATGGGGGGAGGGGAGGGGGAGGGGGGAGGGCGTCTTCTGTCACGACAGCCTAGATAAACGGGGGATTAAGCAGGGTGAGGGATTGATAGGGCCAGACAAAAGAAAACAAATAAAAAAATAACACACACACACACACACACACACACACACACACACACACACACACACACACACACACACACACACACACACACACACACACACACACCAAAACCCAGAATCAAAAACACGTCTAAAACACATTTAATCAAACTAACAAATCAAGACACACACGCGCGTAAGAAGGCATAACGCCCGTGCCGGCACCCGCCCAGACATTGTATTCCATGTCAATTCATCTCTTTTTCAACACAAAAGCGAATGAATTATGAGAGAAGGAAGAGACACAAAAATCAATACTGTCAGCTTTGCCTTTCACCGGCGGAGGAGGGACCCTGATGGCCGCAATATATCCTCTCGGGGATGTCCATTTCTCTGCCCTTTCTTCTCTTTTTCCTTCTTTTCTTTTTCTCTTTCGCTTTCTTCATCCCTCTTTCAATCTGTCACATGCTTTTCCTTGATCTTGCGACCGCGCTTACTCTCTCTCTCTCCGACTTTTCCCCTCCTCCTCTCTTTCTCGGTCTCTGGCTCTAGCTCTCGCTCGCTCTCATTCGCATTCTCGCTCTCGCTTTGGTTCTCTCTTTCCTTTTCCCTCTCCCCTTCTCTCTTCTTCTCTCCCTTCCTGCCTCCCCCCATCTCTCTCTCTCTCTCATTCACTTCCTCTTCCTCTCCCTGTCTCGCGACCCACTTCCGCCTCGTTCTATTAATTTCATTCCCTTTAAGCGCATATTTTCTGCTCTCATCTGTGTGTATATTTGACATTTCTATTTCTCTTGCCTGAAATCTGACTGACTGTATATGTCCTATCATTCCGTCAGGTCAGACTGCGTCTACCTCATCAGACACTCATTCACTCTATCTATGCATTCATTCACTCACTCTCTCATTCATCGACTCACTCCCTCACACTCATTCATCGACTCACTCCCTCACACTCATTCATCGACTCATTTCATCGACTCACTCCCGATTCATCGACTCACTCCTCACACTCATTCATCGACTCACTCCCTCACACTCATTCATCACTCATCACTCATTCATCGACTCACTCCCTCACACTCATTCATATACCGACACGCTCAATCGCTCACTCCCTTCCGTTCCACACCCAACTTCTCTCCATTTCTACGACTCTTCTTCCACTTCCTTCTACCTTCCTCACCCTTCCTCTACCTTCTCTTTGTCCTTCCACTCCATCGACTCTCCCTCCACTTCCCGGACCCTCCCATTATCTCCCCTTTTCCTCCCTCTCCTTCTCCAACTCTCCTGTTACTTCTCCAACCATTCCGCTACTTCTCCAACCCTCCCGCTAATACTCCAACCGTCCTTCTACTTCTCAAACCCTTCTTCTACTTCTCAGAACCTCCCTCCACTTCGCCGACCCTCCCTCCACTTCTTCCCCCCTTCCCTCCACTTGCCTCCCCACCGTTTTAAATACTGGAGGAGGAGGAGAAGGAGGAGGAGGAGGAGGAGGAGTTGAAGAAGCCCCTGAAAAGTCCTGAAGAACCTTGGGCGAGTGTGTTTTACATGCATGCTTCAAACTTTGCTCTTGAATTCTTTTTCACACATATTAAACTGCCGACTTTTCTGGGGGAGGTAGAGGGGGTGGTGGTGAAAGCAGAGGGAGAAGGAGAGGGCTGGGGAAAATAAAGAAGGAAACAAACAAACAAATAAACAAAGATAGAAAGAATATGGGAAAGAAGGGAATGAATAAGAAAACAAGATGAGAGAGAGAGAGAGAGAGAGAGAGAGAGAGAGAGAGAGAGGAGAGAGAGAGAGAGAGAGAGAGAGAGAGAGAGAGAGAGAGAGAGAGAGAGAGAGAGAGAATAACAACATTACCTCCCTACTGGATATCTGGCATGTTGACACCTAATATTCAAATTCAAGTCATCCACATGCAATCCATTATCACATCTTAATTATCCCCCGCCAAAAAAAATATAAACTCATAACCTTAGATAACAAACTTTTTTTCTCGCAAAACCATCAGCTTAGTCCAAAATTATATAACCTCTCCCCATGCCTCTG